CCTAAGCCCAATTCTAAGCGTAGCTTATCCAAACCTAAGTCAAACCTACGCCTAAGCCTAAGCTAAACCCAAGGCTGCATCTAAGTCAAGTCTAAGTCAGGCCTAAGCCTAAACCTATGCCTACGATCCTCAATGATTTCTGCTAGGTTACACCCCAATTCCAGTGCACCCTTCCCTGCCGTGAAGCCCTCTCGGATACCGGCCGATGCGACCGTAACGCCTGTTTGGTAATTTTTGGCGTGTTTTGAATGCCCTAAAATGAGACCCAATTACCGTAACCCTTCCAGGAGGCTTCCGACCGGCCGAGCTGCGAGAAGTCCTGCGAATTCCTGCACCAGATATTCTCCGAAAAACCGGGGGCCTGCCCAGCCGTCAGTGGCATCTCGAATTATGTGAGTTTTTGCGGGTTTTGGATGTTTAAAGGGACCGGCAAGGAATGGATTTTTCACGTCAAATCTACAAAATTGATTCATTTTTGATTTAATATCCAATTTCTTTATTTTTCAGGAATGCACAGCCGAGTGCCGCCTGGATGGCGACTGCCCGGAGACGTCGAAGTGCTGCGCGTCGGGCTGCTCGAGAAGATGCTTCCAGCCCGCTTCCCCCTCTCCTGTTAGCACCAGCCAATCCTCCTCCACCATCCCCAACCTGCCCTTCCACGTCACCGTCCAGGAGCGCAAGCGGAAAAGGTAGATTTTTGCTTTTTCAGTTGAGTTTTCAAAAAGCAAAAAGTTCCAGACCGGTCGGAATTGAACCCGGGTTGTTTTCCCAGCATTCTGTCGTGCAACCAATTAGCCAAGATCGAATTAACGTTTTATTAATCGAGATTGATTGATTAAGATAGCTTTTTCCTTTTTAAATCGAGTTTTGAAAAGCAAAAAATTGCGCTCTGGCAGGAATCGAACCCGAGTTTTTTCCTGGCATTCTGCCGTACAACCAATTAGCCAAGGTCCAACTATCGCTAACAATTCTAATTAAGATAACTTTTTGTTTTTATGAGCTTTTTCAAAAAGCAAAAAGTTCCCCACCGGGCGGAATTGAACCCGGGTTGTTTTCCTGAAAATATATAGCACAACCAATTAGCCAAACTAAAACTATTGTTTTGTCAATCAAGATTGATTGATAAAGGTAGGTTTTCACTTTTAAGTTGAATTCTCAAAAAGCAAAAATTTTCGCGCTGGCGGGATCGAACTCGGACCCCTTTCCTAGCATTCTGACGCACAACCAATCGGCCACAACGTTCATTTTTACAGATCGGCCGTGGTACGCTGGGAGGCGAAGCGTGGAAATCAGCAAGATGCTCTCTCCGACCTCTATCTAGTCCAATGGCGATGGGGACTATCTGAAGAGGCCATGACGAATTGGCAGACGGTCGCACTGGTATGCTAATTGTATTAAACTCTATAGATTATTCCATTCTTTAATTGTCAGAATCTGGCTTAAACTGGTTAAATTATTATATTTATACTAGTTAAATTTTGTAAAATAATTTTTAGAAAAACAAGGACTACGCCATCTTGAAGCACCTCCTGTCCCCGGGGCGGTACTATCAATTCCGAGTTGCGTCGGTGAATCGTCACGGGACCCACGGATTTTCGGTGCCGAGCATACCGTTTAAGCTCAGTAAAGGTAGATATTAAGCCTAAGCCGAAGTCTATAAGCCTCAGCTAAGCCTAAGCACAGGCTAAGCCAAAGTCTATGCTAAGCCCAATTATAAGCCCAAGCCTAAGCCTAAGCCTAAACACTCCTATGCCTAAGCCAAAGCCAAAGCCTCACTGAGCTAATTTTAATATGAGTCTAAGTCAATCCCAAGCCTAAGCTAAGCCAACCCAGACCTAAGCAGCCCGAAGCCCAAGCCTAATCCTAAGCCCAATTTAGAAGCCAAAGCCCCCGGAGCGCCTCGTGACCTGATCCTCGGCGAATCGACCCTAAAATCCGGGGAATGGTCCCAAATGCTGAATTGGATGCCCCCGGTCTCAGATCTGCCAATCACCGGATATATGGTAAGCTTTCTGCCCTGCTACCTCAATAACCCACTTTTTAAGGTATCCTGGGCCGCCTCCACCGAAGCCGAAGCCGACACCTACGAGCTGATGCTCCGCCAGCGGGAGGCCGATAATCGGCAGCACGAAAAACGAGATGCCGAAGAGGTTTGGGCTCGGGACTTTTAGCGGGTGGAGGACGACTTTGTATTTTGCCGTTGCTGATATAAATGAATTTTTATAGCCTTCTTAGTCGTTTTTGATTGCTAGAAAGTTTAAATAAATATTTTTTAAATTTTAAAAATTCAAGAATTTTACCTTTTTGGTCATTTTTCATACATTTTTGAGCAAAAAGTCAAAAATTTTCGAAAATTTTGATTTTTTTGGTGTTGTTTTTATATGTAAAAACTAAGTAAAATCCTAGAAAACTGGTTTAAATTTTTATAGGGTCATAGAGAATCAAAGGGAAAAATTTCGTTACCTCCCCCCCGCTAACAGTCCAGAACCTCTCGAAATCCCGATTTTTAGGAAGAGCTAACCCTGGTGGAACGTGACCGGACAACCGTACTTGTGCCGGCGCACGCTACGCAGACGCGCCTCGAGCGACTGCTGCCGAACGCCGTCTACCTGGTCGAGGTTCAGGCGACCGCCGACTCGGCCGAGGGCCAATTGAGCGGCGAGAAAGCGCTGGTGTTTGTGAGGACGAGGGGGAACCATCCGGAAGACAGAATCGAGCGGCTTATCCCCCTAGATGTCCCGACTGGGTCCCCGAAACGGGAGGATACGGTCGAAGGGATGGTTGTTGAGGTGAGTCCTGACCTACAAAATCTGAAGTAAATTATCAAAATTTACTTTTAAAATTATTTTTAGTATTTTAAAAACATCGGGATTCATAATGATGAAATTACAGTGTTTCTAAATTTTTTTTTATTCCTAAACGTACCGCAAATTCGTGTAAATATCAAAAATGACCGATTTTGACGAAAATTCAAAAGCTTCCAGGTTGCTTTAGATCGATTTTCCATTTTAAATCGGTCCAAATTTGCTTTACACTATTCCAAAACGTAGAAAATGTACAAATTTCCGTTGAACAATACAAAAAAATATCGGTTTTTAGATAGTTTTTCCACTTTAAATCGACTTAAATTCTTTTTGCTGAATTCCAATACGTGCAAAATCTACAATTTTTTTTATTAAGCAAACAAAAATAGCGATTTTCCACGAAAAGTGGTCGATTTTCGATCTGATTTTGAACTTATGAAAAATTTTCTACCTTCTTTTTTATGGTTTCTACTTGACATATCGCTAAATTTTACTAAAAAGACTAGTAAAACACTCGCTATTACATCACTAGGGATTTCTCGCCTCGTAGGGAAATCCCCCCCCCCCCCCCGTTAATGCCAAAGAAAAGCTGAAAAAACTATTCGATTTTAGACGCCGCACTTCACCGACTCGCTGACCACCTCCATCAACTGGGTCAACTCGCGAATTTGCGGCCCTCAGAAACGGCGCTTCCTCGTCAAGTACACCGTGCAGAGGTGCGTAGCGTAGTCTGCAAATTTCTGTAAACTTAATAACTCAAATTACAGCATTCTAAAACTAAAAACTAGTCAAATAACAATACTAAACCCGTCATTTCCAGATGCGCCCAATCCGGCCGCGAGCTGAACGTTTGGCGCGAAGAATGGGCAAACGAATGCCATCTACAGTTGCGGCAGCTCGATTTCCAGTGCAGCTACTTGGCCCAGGTGTACGAGCCGGGCGCGCAGAAGGTAGAAAAGGTTTCTGAAAAGCTGAATTCAAGAACTTCAGCCGAGCGTCGCCGGCACGTTCGAGACGAGAAGCTGCGAGGAGACCCCGACCAGCGGGAAACCACCCTGCGATTTCGTGAAGCCGAGTTTGCGATGCGATTGGGACTTTTCGTCGATCGACTGCACGTGGGAGAGGCTGGAAAGTGATCGGCGAGACACCGTCATCGGCTACCGGTTCGTTCAAAAGTTTCTTTTTATTTTTACATCTATACCTGCCTGTTAATAGTATATAACGTATTTTCTAGCGTTTTAGCCTTTTTTATTGTCAAAAGTTTATAAAAAAACGTAGAATTTATGAAAAATTGCAACTTTTGGCCGTTTTGGTCATTTTTCACGTTTTTGACTTAAAAACCGAAAATTAAAAATTTTCGAACATTTTTATGATTTTTATGAGCTTTTTAAATCTAAAAACTAAAAACTTACTTCCCCTTACAGAGTGGTACTCACATCCCCCGGGCAGGGCAGCGAGAACATCACCATCCTGCCGCCACAGAGCCGCAACACCCGCTTCGACGCGCTGGCGCCGTGGAGGGAGTACGCCGTCGAGGTGCAGCCCATCACCAACAGGTTCGGCTTCGTTGAATAAAACCTCCTAAAAATCTAACTAATAAATAAAACAATCTAAAAATATCATGTTATTATAGGGGTGTCGGCGTGGCCGTATCTTCGATCATCGCTCCCACCGACCTCTCTGCCGACACGTCAGAAGCTGTTGAGGAGCGAGCGCTAAACGATCTCGAGTTCATCGAGCTACCGCTAGAATCGGCGGCCCCAACCTCCCTCAGAATACTATTGCCACTCCTTGCCGTGTTCTTGCTGCGATAGCCAGAGCTTCGCAACCCAGCTTTCCCCAAATACTCCGGGTGCTCTAGTCGATTCAAGGGGAGCTCTTCCTCCTCCCAATCCATTCTCATTACGGGTCGTTTGTAATTTTGCAGTATAGTGTGGTTGCACAGAAAATAAATATTATACATAGTAAGGGTTGAAAGGCACCGGAAACCACACGAAATATATGGATAAAACTTTATCAAATTCAACATTGTGAAAAAGTGAAGAGGGGAACCGGATTGGTGTAGGCACAGAGTGGATGCAAAAGGCCACAACAACGTCACACAAAAAACGAGGAGCTGAAAAACAACAAAATCAACAATTCAGGCACATGGATTGAGAATTCAAAATCAACAACTGGAAACGAGGCAAAAACCTAGGCTTGAATTTTGGCCATAACATCGTCGAGCGCCATCTTCAGCTCGTTTTGAGCGCCGAATTGGTCCTGGTAGGCCATTTGGATCTTCTTGAGGTGGGGCAGCAGCGTCAAATTGTTGCGCGACTTGGCCTGGAAAGAAAAGGCTAATGTTGTGGGGATCGTAGAATACAAAACATTAAATAAAAACCTTCTAAAAAACTAAATATAGGAAATTCGTAACAAGATTGTCGAAATTTTGAAAAACAACGTATTTTTTTTTCTCAAAACAAGTTATCAGAGTTTCTAAAAATTCTTTTAACGTTTTCGCGAATAAGAAGTACTAAAAATACTGTAGCAAGCTTAAAATTTAAACAGTCCCGAAGCCAACTATCTGTAAAAAACCCAATTCTCACCCGCTTGATGTCTTCCTCCTTTTGGCTGATCCCGGCTTGCTCCAACCGCGTGTCGATGAGCAGATTGGCCGTCTTGAGCACGCGCAGCGCCACCTCGACCTTCGTCAAATAGTCCTGAAATAAAAAAGGAATTAGATGAGGTTCAAAATTAAATGGCATTACAAATTCCACCCCTGCAATTTCTCACATTTTTCATCGTATCGGCCTGGAGGGCCTGCTCGACCAGGCGCACATAGCGCCCATCCTGATCGACGCTGCCCGGCGTCGGTTTTTTGAGGGAGGCGTAGAGGAGGTAACCCTGAAAAGTCTGTTTCTAAAATTGCAGCAGCAAAAACCTGTGCGCCGAGTGACTTGGAAGCGATGATACGTGCGAAAAGCTTGCAGAGCTCGTCCAGGCACGGGTCGTTGGGTTCCTAAAAAGCCAGATGCAAGCAGGAAAAGCCGCTACCCACCTTTTCGATTAGGTCCAACGCTTCATTCGTCAGCTTGATCAAATAGTCGTCATCGGTGGGGGCTCGCTTCAGGTCAAGAAGCCTAAAAAACTAAAGTAACTGACAAAAGCAAAAGCTACCTATGGTATGCTTGTATCGCCTTCGACACTTCGCCGACAGACAGCGCCAGCAGCAAGCAATTCCCCCCAAATGTTGTGGTCTTCGATGCTGAACTTGATAGCTTCCTAAAAAGACTTCCGGTCAGGCTAAACTAACAGCGTTACCTGAAGCACGTCGAAAGCCCGCTTTTTCTGGTTGAGACGAAGGTAGGCGGCGGATAGGTTGTTCCAGGCTTCGAAGTGTTCAGGCTCGAGGTCGACACAACTAAAAATCGTTGATAAGACAGTCAGATTGTCCGAAAACCGATCCATATCAGGTTCTTTCGCACTATCGGGGGGCGGGGGGGGGGCAAAGCTAAAAAGATCGTTTTTATTAAAATTTCTATTAGGAATAGTCGTCGAAAGTTTTTAGATAGTTTTTCTGGTTGAAATATATTTTTATTTTACTAAAAACCAGATTGAAAAGTTCCTATTCAGTTACTAGGCACTTCCAAACTTATACAAAAAATTTCAGCCCCCTCCCCCCGACAACGCGAAAGCACCGAGTATCAAAACAGACCGGCGAAGCAGACGGTTGCCTGCTCGAATTGCTCGTTGGTCCACGCACAGTACCCCGCGTTGAACCACACACCAAGCTGAATAAATCGTTCTATTTGTAACAGACAATTTGCACCTGAATCGGGCGCAGCTCCAAACTGCGTCGGAAATTCTCATAGGCCTCTGGGTACTTCTTGCGAGACAAAAATAGATTTCCCAACGAGCGGCGTGTCCGGGCGTTTTTGTCATTGCTGATCTAAACAAAAAATCTTCAAAAACACCTTCACGAACCTCAATGGCCTTTTCGAAATACGACAGCTCCTGGTTGATCTCGCCGAGCATCGTGTAGAGGAGATGGAGGGGAACGCTGTCGTCCTTCTGATCGATAAGGCTGAACGATAAAGTAATTAAGAATATTAGAAATTGACCTACTCTCTTATTAACCGGTCGGCTTTCTCAATTTGGCCCATCGACTTGTAGCAGTCAATGACGCCGTCCCAGTTCTTTAGTTTTTCGTAGCAGCGGAGGGCCTCCTGAAATGAAAAATAATTCTAAAAAAAGCTATAACGTACCGAGTACAGTCCGATCGAGCAGAGCACACGCGCATACTGGATTCGCACTTTCCACCATGGGGGAAGGCCACAGGCGACCGCAAATTTGCACCTTGGCACTCCGTGTTCAGCATACTAAAAATAACATATTGACCTTTATTTACAAATTAGCTAAAAAAATATGTTAGAAACCCACACTCGCCGTCCCATCCAGACCCAGCAATAACGATTCAAGCTGTTGGCAGGCCCGTTCCACCTAAAAACTTTCGCAACAACAAGATGGAAACTTACTTTTCGACCCTTGCCCTTCTCCAGGTCGCTGCGCATGATCAGCGACTGGCAATGCCCCGCCCAGCAGCGCTTTTGGGAGAGGATCTAAAAGAACGATAATGAAAAAGCCTAAATCGCTTACCATAGAGATTGTCGCCATGCATTCTTCGGTAACAATGTCGCTTTTCGGCTGTGTTTTCCGCTTGTACGTGGTAAGGGCGACGAGGCAGGCCACTTGCATCGAAGTGAGCAAGACCGGCTCCTTGGCCGGGCCTTCCAGCGTGATGGTGTCCATAAGCGTGTCGTCATTCAACTGCACATTTTCCGGCATTTGTTCCTCGGCCTCGTCGACCTCGCCGCTAGCTTGCTAGAACCAAAAAGTGAACGAAAAACCACTCGAAACCCCACCACCGACAACACCAACTGGGCCACCAGGTGTTGCTGCCATTTTGTGCGCTTGCCGAGCTCGCCGGTCAGCGTCGCGTCAAGCTTTGCCAGTTTGAACGCCTGAATCAAGAAAATCTAGGAAACAAACTAAACGCGCACCTCGTCAATGTGCCGATGCGCTTCATCGTAACCGTAGAACAACAGGCACGCCTGGGCAATGACCAGCTCGCGCTCCACGCTGAGCACGAGGCTTTCCTAGAAAGATATTAACAACAAGCCCAAAAATCCCACTTCGCATGGTTCTTGCACTTCTTTGATCAATTCTTTGATACGCCGATGGATCGTTGATGAAGACTCGTCGAGCAGGTGCTGCCAGGCCATCAGAATCTAAAAAAACATCCTCCGAAATTGAATCAAAATTTCTCACCTTGAGCTGCAAGACCTGGCCTCCATTTTGCCCTTCGATGGCCTTGATCGCGGCAAGGAGAAGCAAAAGGGACCTAAACGCTTTGAAAAATAGGTCTTTCAATTCCAACCTTGTCCCCTTGTAAGGCAACATCCCCTCACAAGACAAGGCTTCGACAACTTGGGGGCGAAGGCCTTCTTCGACGTCTTTCTCAAGCAGGGCGGCTTCTGAAAAGCTATTTTTTTCCGTGACATAACCCCCCCCTGACTTGTTCTCCAAAAGGGCAACGACAAACCTTCAATCCCGCACCAATTGCTCGCGAAGAAGTGGTCGTAGGCGACGGAAGCAACAACGAGGCGTTCAGCATCGCTAAGTTCGGTCCGGATGCGCTTCTCGACTTCGGGCACCGTCGTGCAGCCCTCGAATCTTGCCCGTAGGGCGTCGATGTCGTGGTTCATCGGCTGAAAGGAGGGATTTGGGTTGTAAAAGTTGAAAATTTCAATGAAGAGAACATTCACGAGAGCAATTACGACATGCAACACGGCTCTCTTTGGCACGGCATGCAGAAAACACAGGCGGACCCCCGTCCGCGGGTCAACATTTTAGCAAACATCCCCCGAACACGCCATATAAATACGAGGAGCTTAGCAGTAAAAAAAAACTATGAAAGAAAGAAAACAAAATAAAAACAGAGCCAATATACTTTAATATGTTTATTGGGGGGGAAATACTTTATGTGAAGACTATTTGGTTACTGTTTTAGTAACATACGCTTTCATTAGACTGTTCTACCCTCACTCTCCTCTTATTTCAACCAGGATCTAACAATAGTTCATTATCCTCGTGTTTTTTCGGGCTTTTTCTCTATTTGTATTATGCGTATCACTATCCATATACTACTTTAAACAAAGCCAATATACTTGAACACGTTTATTCGGTAAATACTTTTATGAAAAGATTTGGCTACTAGTTATCGCTATCAATATGTTACTTTCTTGAGCGGGGAAATGTTTTAGTTTATTAGTTTTTTTCTTGTCTTTATGCTTTATGTCTTCAGTTTCCAGTTGAAGTTTTGTTGAGGACCGGCAAGTTTTAGGTTGACGTTCGGAAACTGACTATTTCACCGGTAACTTGCAAAACAAACTATAAAAGCCTGAAAAAGAGCATAGTGATAGATCTGCTTGCAAATAAAGATAGTTATTACAGATTAAGCAAGGTTTACAAAGATGAAGCTGGCGCCTTCTGAAGAATCGTTGTCGAATCCGTCGATTAAGGCCCTGAAGTAGCAGAAATACTAGCTAAAACTTGTGAGCGTAACTAAACATTTAACTTAATTGTTTTCTT